GATGGTTAAAGGCTTTCTGGAGCTTTAGGCTTTGGGGTTTAAGCTTTCCCCTAAGCCCTAAACCCTAAACCCTAAACCCTCTAAACCCCAAACCCTAAACCCTAAACCCTAAAAAGAACCGGGCACCGAAGAGGGGATGAGGCTGCGAAGCTGGCGAAGGCAGCGGTAGCCTCAAGGGCTCCGATGATCAGTAAATAAAGGGCCTTGCCTGGGTGTTGGGGTTTTGGGTTTTAGGGTTTAGGGTTTAGGGTTCAGGGTTTAGGGTTCAGGGTTTAGGGTTTGGGGTGTGGGGCTTAGGGTTTGGGGTTTAGGGTTTAGGGGTTTAGGGTTTCTGACTTACGGCAATGTAATATCACAAGGAGTTGTAGGTTTCCAGACCCTTTAATTAAGAGTTAGGAGTTCCGTGATAAGGAGCTCCATTAGGATCTATGGGATCTGGCGATTGCAGCGAAAGGCTCTGGGCAGAAGCCCTGAAACCTCAATGCCCGAGACTGGACAACCCGAAAGTGGAGCTCAAAGCAGGTTTAGCGGTTTAAGCGCTTAAGGGGTTTCGGGGTTTCGGGGTTTAAGTGCTTAAGGGGTTTAGGGGTTTTAGCGCTTAAAGGTGTTTAGGGGGATTAGGGTTTACTGTGGCTGCAACTGCTCGCAGCTCTCACTGTTCTCACGATGAACACTGTTCACATCGTCCGTTATGAACTAAACCCTAAACCCTACTCCTGAACTGCCGCCCATGTGGCATGGTCGGAAGTCGTGGCCCCACTTGCTGACGCAATGCCTTTGTAGGATATAGGGCTCGGGGATTGAAGTCTCGGGTGCCAAAAAGCCCTTTTTCAAAGAGCTCGCGCTTGTCATGCTTCTTCTACGAACCGAAGGGTTTAGGGTTTAGGGTCTGGGGTCTGAGGTTTAGGAAAGAACCCAAAACACGACAAAACCCCAAAGCCTCTTCTTCCCTCGAGAAGCTTCAGAATGAGACCTCCCCCCGAGCAGGCCCGCAGACTATCGTGGCACTGGCCACCCTACCCCCAAACCTCAATAAACCCTATAAACCCTAAACCCCAAACCCTGCCCCAAAAAAACCCTAAACTCCAAAATCCTGGAACAGATATCCCAAAACTGCGGAAGCCGAAGCTCGCTTCGTCGATGGCGACGATGGCGATGCGGTCCGCGCAGCGCTTCAGGACAGCGGCAAAGCTGGGGGAAGTGGCCAGCCTTGGCTTCTGCCAGAGTCGTCAGGGACTTTGATTAGACCTATATGCAAATAGACAGCCAGCCGGATAGATAGACAGATAGATAACTAGATAGATAGATAGATAGATAGATAGGCAGATGGGCAAATAGACAGATAGGGAGACAATAGGTAAACAGATAGACAGACAGACAGACAGACAGACAGACAGGGCCTTCGAGTTATTGAAGGGCCTTCGAGTTATTGAAGGGCCTTCGAGTTGTCAGAGCTTCCAGCCCCATGAACCTACGTCATTGTCGAAGATGTAGAGCTCGCAGAGACCTCCCACGACTGCCTTAGAGAAATCTCCCTAAACCCGAAGCCCTAAACGCTAAACCCAAACTCTAAACTGCTGGCTCCAAAGCTCCATCAACAATGTACTCTAGAACCCTACACTTCTAGGCTACGGGTTTAAGGTTTACTGAGTTTAAGAACCTTAATTTAAGAACCCTGAACCCCCAAATAAACTGCGGGCCCCTTGTCGGCAGCTCAGAAGCTCGGGTGAGAGGTACAAGAGCTTTGGTGCGGCGGTAGTGTGGCCCTTTGCTCCTGCTTCTACCCATAGGCCCCTAAGTAGTTCCTTTTTGGGATTACCTTATATTCTAAATATAAACCCTAAAAAGGAACTACTTAGGGGCCTATGGGTAAGGCCGGGGGTTCCCTTATGGAAGGGCTCCTTTAAGGCTTTAAGGGATCTGCTTTTGCTCCTGCTTCTAAGGTCCCCTTAAAGCCTTGCGGGCTCCTTATAAGGGATCTGTAGCCGTAAGAGTGCACAAGTAATCCTGATTTATGGTCTTCGGTTCCCATGAAGGACCTAAAGTCCTATAATGGAGAGTACTTGGACCCTTAGGGTAGGACTCCATTCGCGTTCAGGGCCGTTTAGGGTTTAGGGCCTGGGGCTTAAGAAGGGTTTCTGGCGGGCGTAGGATGTAAGGTCCAGGTCTAAGGTTCTCGGGCTTTTCGGAGGGTTTAGGGTTTACGCGTTTAGGGTTTAGGGCTTTAGGGGTTTAGGCTTTAGGGTCAGGTGCATCGAGTTTTGGATGTCGGGAGCTGTTCGGAGTGTAGGTAACAGTAACCCTGCAGGGCTCAAAGCCCAGACCTTAAACCACAAACCCTAAACCCTGAACCCTAAACCCTAAACCCTGAGCCTCAAAACCCCGAAACCCGAAGTCCCAAATTAAGAGAATCGAAACCCGTTAAAAAGGTGGCTTCAGTAGAATGGGGTGTGGTGTATAGATGCGTATGGTATAGTTATGAGGGCCCGAGAATCAGAAGGGTTTAGGGTTTAGGGGGTTAGGGCTTAGGGTCTAAGGTATTCCAACTTCCATAAATCACCCCTACCTGGAACCCCAATCGCACAAAATCATCTTCCGGACCCGTATTGTAGCATACAGTAAGAACAGGGTTGCGGGTGACATTCCGTTCCGATCGCGACATAGTGTTATATGGCTGAAGATCCCTGAGCTATCAATCTGAGCTTTCTACAACCCTTCTGGAGCCCTGTTGGAACCCTGATTCTCGCCGAAAAGCCCCCTACTTAACCCCAAGCCCTACAGCTTTATTGCCTTATTAAAAAGACAGGAACTTTTCCAAGACCCTTTTAAAACCTTACCAAGACCAAACCTAAACCCGCAAACCCAAACCCTGGAAGCCCCCAACCCCAAACCCGAGGCCTGCAAACACAAAACCCTGAAGGACCCCAAACCCCAAAATCTCTAGACCCTTAACCCTTATCTAGCTAGTTATAGAATCCTAACGACTGTAGAGACACCTTCAAGGAACCCTAAACCCTAAGCCCTAAATCCTCAACCCTAAACCCTAAACCTTCAAGGAGCCCTTAAAGGAACCCTCAAAGCCCGTCCTTTTCCTTTCGCCTTTTTGGGATCTGGCGCGATGGCGGTAAGGATCGCCTGAGCGGCTTCGGCCGTTCGGGCGTGTTTCGGGTTTAGGGTTTAGGGCTTTAGGGTTTTAGGGTTTGGAGTTTAGGGCTTTAGGGTTCTAGGGTTTAGGGTTTAGGGTTGATCTTTCTGTAGGTGCTTTTGTTGGCTTTTCAGGGTTTACGGTTAAGGGTTTAGGGTTGTTAAACACTTCGTGTCTTATGTGGTTGTTCATCGGAGATTTATGAATTTATTTGCAAGGCTGTCTGAGTTGTTATGGGTGTCTCGATGGATTTGCCGTTTGGGGGTTCAGGGCTTCTGAGTTCGTTCCGATGAGATTCTGAATCCTGAAAATTCGGGCGCTCGGAGAGTGCAAAATTGTGTCGCCGGCTTTCTGACAACCTCAGACCTCTCGGGTTTAGGGTGTATCTTGGTCCTGATCATGTTGCAGTAAGGTGTATCGTCACCGCTGTTATTCGCATCCCGGTCACATGTGGAATTGCAAATACCTTAATTTGTCCAACAGTGTTTCATGTTCCCTTGCTATGAGTCTGGTTGCGACCACTTAGCCCCAGTGGAGTGTGCAAATCGATCCCAGCTTCATCATACCACGAAGAGTGACACGATCATGACACTGCTATGCGCTCAAGAAGAGATGCCGGCATTTGTGCTCGTCTTTGAGGAGTCCGCATTCAACCCCAAAGCCCTAAATCCTGAACAAGGAACCCTAAACTCCCAAAAGCCCTAAGTGTCCACCCTTTCAACCCTTCCTACCCTACAGACCATCTGAGCTCTACTAACGGCCCCTTGCAGTATTTGACAGGAACCTTAGAACGCCTCTTTGAAGGAACCCTGTTACCGCCTCCTTTTGAAGGAAGCCCGTTACTCTTACCACCTCAATCCCCTGAGAGAGGAAGGGTCAATTAAAGGTACCCTCAATCAAAAAAAGGAACCTCAAACCCCAAA